CACACAGTTCAGGCTGTCTTCATGTGTCATTATCATAGGTCTTTGACGTTGATAGTGCAGGTGAATCTCACTTTGGCTGTATATTATGAAAAATCTGATAATGTAATCTAGACTTTAACTTTCGTGGACATTTACACTTTTTACTCAGATGGTTCATGAATCACAAATTAAGAAACTCCTGAGTGTAGAATCTGAAGGAAAGTAACTCCTGGGTCCTGCAGTAAGGAAGTAGTGTTCTATGGCTCCTTCACTGAATGTGAAGTCTCCCAATATAACATCTTTATTGCTAAAATGATTTTAAACTTATAGTTAATTTTAAAGACTAAGTAGTAATTAGGGCAAATTATCAAAAATGAGAAAAATTCTAAAGCTGAGACTTAATACCTGCATAACAGAAAAAGTAAATTCCAGACGCGTTAATTTAGCAGGTACAACAGAAAGCCCCAAGTACAGCTTTTTTCTAAGGAATGTGCCATGGTTAGACACTCACTCTCACCACCTACGAAAAGGGAATTGGTTTAAGAACAATAAAATTATAATAACCAAAAAGAGAATGAAATTCCCCTTCAGTTTTTAAAGCTAAAAAGTTTTCTGGCGGTATCTCATAGATGGAATTTTTATTCCTTAGTTGATGAAAGTTCAGCAGGGGCTCTAGTAACATGAGGAGACACCATAAAGTATCTAAATAGCAAAAGGGCGTGCATTTCCTTTATTTTTCTTTCAGCTCAACCAGGACTGCCCTCCTTCCACTCCTCGTTAATAACATATGGCATTGCGTTCACTACTCAAAGCGTTTAGAATAGTACCTGGCACATAGTAAGTACCGTTACTGTTGATGATGTAACCATCAGGAAAGGGCTGTCTAGGATCAGGATGCCCCATACATCTTGACACCTAAAGAGCTACGTACAAGTCTAGAGACAGCACACAGTATTAGAGATAGTATTCATCGTCATTAAGTGACATGTCACCTTGGGGAGTAAACTGACCTTTGAGTAGGGTGACCAACTTGCCCCTGCTTGCCTGGATGTTCCCAGTTATGGCACATGAAGTCCAGAGAAATCCCTCAAGTGCTGAGCAAACTGGGACAGCTGGTCACTCTCCCTCTGAACCTGCTTCTTCATCTGTAACATGCAGATAAAATAAGACTTACATCATAGGATTATTGTGGTCTAAGTGGGTATGACATGAACAGAGGCGACATATCAATCAAGAGCATGAAGCCAGGCCTCCCAGTTTCAACCCAGCTCTTTCCACCCTATAGCTCCCTACCTTGGGCAACTTATTTAACCTCTGCCTCAGTTTCCTTATATGTAAAACAGGATACTACCATTTACTTCGTAGGATTGTTGTGAATGTTAAAATGCTATCACCCTCATAACAGTACAGAGAGCACAGTGAGCACTACATATGGCATTATTATTATTATTCAGCCTATTTCCTAGCAACAGTAAACAGCTGATAAATGTTTATTACTTACTAGGAAGGCCCACTTAAAAGCTAATGTAAAAACTAGGTTAGAGTTTTGGGGCTGAGTGTTTTTTTCTTTTCTTTCCTTAATTTGTCAGGGTTATTTTGTTGCTTTGTTCAGTGAACTGTTAAGAAATACAGAACTGCGCAATAATCATCAGATTAAGAGTAACAGGAGGTGGACAGCCGCCCTCCCCGCTGCGCACCCCTGGGACTCATGGGCAGGAACGTGGCTGTGCTGCCTCAGAGAACACACGTCCACTGCAGGCCTAGCCTCGGTTGCTACCTCTGAAAGCAAGGGAAGGTCGGTGGAGAGGCAACCACAGCACAGCGTGGAATTTCCAGGTCTTATTGCAAAACTTTATAAAGAAGGAGAACCCCATGGACCTAATCAAGGGAGATGGAACAAAAGGATGTGTGCCCACACCAAGGAGGCTGGGTGGCAGAAGGCCTTGTAGGAGCAACAGCCCTTTCCTGCTGACTGCGGGCACCGCTGGTTCCTGGAAGAGCTCTGGGAAACTGCCCGCAAATATAGTCTGGTGTGGAGACAGCCGCTGTGCCAAGTCTGTGTTTTTGTGGTTATCGGGTGGTATGTGGGCCAGCGATCGGCTTTTTGGGTCCAATGTCTTCTTCACTGATTGGCTGTTTTGTTTGATCTGGTTGCCGGAGGTGAAGGGTGGAGGAGTGGGTGAACCAGGTGGGCCGACTTGAAGAGCGCCCGTCTCCCAGCACTGACACCACCCATGCATGCCAGCCTTCATGCTCCTGGGCCACCTCATCAACTGGTGCCAATGCTGCCACTGTATCCAGCACACGACTGTCTCTGCTTCTACCTGGCCTCACGCCTGCCTGGGTCTCTGCATGCCTTCATCACGGTCACATTTGCCATCCAGATCTTTGCCCTGTGGCCCATGTTAGGGAAGAAACTGAAGGCATGTCCCCCCGCAGCTATGTGGGAGTCACACTGGTCTGCACTTTCAGGAGCCTGCTGTCCATTAGTGCTGTGGGAGCCACACTTTGCTGGTTTCCATCTCAAGTCTCTGCCCTTTCTACCTCATTCGCCTGCAGCTTTTTAAAGAAAACATTCATGGGCCTTAGGATGAGGCTGAAATCAAAGATGATTTGTCCAGGGTCCTCAACTAAGTTAGAGGCCTCCACTCTGTTATTAAGGCAAGCTGACAGACTGGCTCCCAACTAGTGTAAAGATCTGAAAGCAGAGTTCCACTGTGGAAACAGCATGATGTGGGAGGGAGAAGGGCCATCAGAAGAAAAAGTTAACCAGGGCCGGCCCGGTGGCATAGTGGTTAACTTCGCGCGCTCAGCTTTGGCGGCCCAGGGTTCGCAGGTTCAGATCCTGGGCGCAGACCGACGCCACCACTTACCAAGCCATGCCGTAGCAGCGTCCCACATATAAAGTAGAGGAAGATGGGCATGCATGTTAGCCCAGGGCCAGTCTTCCTCAGCAAAAAGAGGAGGATTGGCAATGGATGTTAGCTCAGGGCTGATCTTCCTCACAAATACACAAAAAGTTAACCAAACTTGGGTATTGAAAGTACTTATCATTTCTGTTATTTTGTGGATGAAAAAGCTTTCTGGGGCCCTCTTGAATTATTGCCTCTCACTTATTATTCACTGCAACAAATGAAATGATGCAGTTTCTATTTACTAAAAAAATACATCCAAAAAAAAAAAAAGGTAACAGAATTCAGAGAAGCTAAAATAGTGTCCTACATTTTAACTGAGTAGACTTCAAATATGTAACATTTTTAAAGTTGATTCTACATTGGTAAAGAAATTTTAAGTATACAACTTTTTATAACCATCGTATAAAAACAGAACTGTCTCCATCCCTTCTCAATTTCTAATCACCTTTTAAATGACAGTTTAAAAAACCACCACTAAACTATTAATCTGGGGTTTAGTTTTTCATTTTCAAATAATAAATTCACTCATTTTTACATTTGCAAGAACTCCCACATGTGCTTTTGAAGCTCGGCTTATATCAAATTTTGATCTGTAAGCCTAAAAAATTGTTCAATAACCAGTAACTAGCATACCATACAAAGACTCAGCATCAAAAGCTGAAATACAGCTAAAATATAATTCAGAATCAGAATTCCTTTATCACAGTGGGTCTCATCGGGGCTGATTCCGCCCCAGGGAACACCCAGCAATGGCATTTCTGGTCGTCACAACTGGGGGAGTGGGGCCAGAGGTGCTACTGACTTGGAGTGGGCAGAGGGCAGGGATGCTGCTCCATTCCTGCAATGCACAGGACAATTACCCCGAACAGAGAATTATCAGGCCCAAAACGCCAACAGAAACCTAATTTATGTGAACTAAAGAAAGGCAGATTAGACCATGCAGACAGCAAACTGTCCCTGATGGCACCTCCAAAGCTGGCCTCCTCCACATCGGCACTAGCGAGTACAGCCTTGATAAAGGCAAATTCCAAGCTCCCCAACATCCTCTTCGGACACATCAAGAATCTCTAGCAACATCTATTTTGTGACCCTGGTAATTAATCAACCCTTTTGGGTTATGCTGACTTATTTTCACAATGACAAGTATGTTTTTTAGAAAATAAATGCAGTATCTACATCCTTGTTTAGATTATTCCTGAATCACAGAGACATTTTAACTGTTAAAAAAATTAAACAGTTCTATTTGCAGTGGTATAACAAATTTTAATTCAAAATAGACACTCTGAAAACAATAGGTAAAAAAAAAATAAACTTCAACAAGCTCTTTTTGAATTTACAAGAGTACACCAACAATCACAGACCAGTTTCACAATTGCCTCAAAAATGCACATTACAGCAATTACATGCGAGTATTATATTTTTTTAAATCCATATAGTAACATTATCCGTTTCCCAGAGACTGTCATATGTTCTGAACACGTTGGACAGGTGCCTCTGCTATGTATCACCAGCAGTATGACTCACGGTCTCAACTGGCTGGTCTCCATTCCTGGCTCTGGTGCTTTAAGTTATTTTATATTGTGTGGAAAAAAAACGAGGTTTAACTGTCCAAAAGAGAGTAATACAACAGTATTCTTTAGCAACACCCTGGCCCATAGCCTGGACAACTGGGCTATGGGAAAGCCCATTTCCCCAAAACAAATACGTTTCCTTCTAGGAAACCGTCAGAGATTTCATACGCCAACCATGGGGACTTAGCTCTGGTCTGTCACTCCACCTTGTCCCCTGAAAATCTAGCTTACATTTCAGTGAGTGTCCACACTCAGGGGTAAAAACTTTATTCCTGAGTAACACGGTCCTTCCCTTTCACTGGTTTATGAACAGTTACGTTAGAAGGAGAGTCTGTGTGTGTGTTTTCAGTGTTTATTCTAAAGGCACTAAGACTTATGGTTTTACCTTTGAATGGAGAAATGACTTATCACCATATCAAAGAGGGGGAAGTCTACACTGAAAAGTATTTCTGCACCTACAGAATTACTTTATTTGTAAAATAACTCTTTTGACTTACGAGCTAAATAGCAGACTTCAGGTTCAGTAATTTTTTAAAAATGAAAACATTTGGTTTTCTATGAGTTATAATCAAAAACAGCTGTTAGGATAAACCTAAAAAAATGTAAATCAAAATTATAATCTAATAAGCAAATATCTTACAAGGAAGAAATCAGCATAAGTTAATGCAGTGCATCCTTAAGGAACCATACACATCACGGGGGTTTGTACTCACTTCTCTACACATTTACTGTATCAATTGCTGCTACATGAGAAACTAACTGAGGGAGATCGATGCTTTAATTCGAAGTTAATCAGGTATTCTCAAACAAGCAGAAATTTCCTTAAATGAAAAAACAAAATGAGACTTCAGTTTTTATCATACGATACTGACACTACTGGGAAAACAAGGCGTGCATGAAATATCAAAAGATTTAATTTACATGACAGAGGAAAAAACTAAAAATAATTGTTACAAAATCAAACTTCAGGAAACGATAAATCCGACAGAACTATTCACTTCTTTATATAGAAGTCTTTCTGAGCACCTGAAATAAATCTAAAGAGCAGCATAAAGACCACTGAAATTGATTAGTCCAACATACAGTGAGAAAATGACGTTTTTTTAAATCTCAATTGAAAAAACTACTAATTATCTAGTACTTTAGATTTCCTAATTTTTTTTAACAAGTTTTATGGTTCATACTCAAAGTTCAACCTGTGTTTAACATTTTTCAGTTCAGACATATCAAAACCTAAAAGTACAGAAGGCTTGTGATTTTTTATTGCTTTCATGCAAATGTATCTTCTTTTTCCAAAAAATGAAGCCACATCAATTTTCCACACCCATAAGAGTGAGGATAACAGTTCTATTTCCTTTTTACTAGGATATGGTCTCTTGTGGAAATAATCTCTAAGAAACTGCTTTTTTTCTTCATAAGAACGGTCTTCATATTTTTTAGGATTTAATGCTAAAATGTGAAGAGCATCATCATTAACAAGTGGTCCCTCAGTCCTGCTTTCATTTCTTTGCCTTTTAAAGGGCACGATGCTCGTTACCTTTTCTGGAGCCGGGGCTGCCTCGGCGTTTATGACGAGAGGTCGCTCCTCCCCATCCCTCTGGTCTCCTGCCCCAAAGTGGCCATCGGGCAGCTTTCTCTTCACAGAGAAACCGGCATCGTGGGTCACCTCGCCGTTGACCAGCAGCAGTTCACTGTTCTCGATGAGGCCTGGCTGGACTTGCAAGTCTGAGCCGCTGTCCTTCGGGGCGCTTCTGCAGCGCAGCAGGTGTACGGCGATGGCTGCCAGGGTCATGTTGCCAGTGTAAACCCCACAGCAATGGATGCACTTGAAGGCTGGAGACTTCAGGATGGTGTGGACTGTGGGCATGATGTGGTGCCTCTCCTTCAAATGCAGCTCATACGTCTCAGTGGTCACAAAGGTGCCAAAGCAGAAGGGGCAGGTCAAGGCTTGTTTGCTGGGGCTTCCGGGCGCACCCTCCGTCTGGGGCCTCACTTTGATGTACACGGGCACGAGCGACTTGGAGTGTATCCCAGCCAGGATGGCCAGGTAGACCTCCCGCTCCCCGAGCTCCTCCTTTGGCAGTATGGTGATGAAGTCAAGATGGGGAAACAGCAGGTTGCCATTAGCATCGATATCCAATTGAAAACCTTTGTTGCTGTAATCCACAGGTAATTTCTTCTTCCCTAGGTGCATAGTCCTACTATGCTCAGAAAGACCTTTAATATCATGGAAAGTGCATGGACAAAACAAACACCCTAGGCCATGCATTAGTAAGTGATGGATAAGCTCTTCCTCCGATACTAAGCATTTACAAGAGAGACATCGAACTGTTTTCTCTCTCATCCACTTTAAAAACGGTGCACATGCTGCCAGTTTTTCAGGCTCCAGCTTTTCAGCAGATTTGGATTCACTGTGCTTGTGAGCCACCTCCATGTGGACCTGGTAGACGTTGGAAGGGAAGAGCTCATTGCAAACTGGGCAGGTTTTCCACTGCTTCGCCTGTCTGAGCGCCTGGCTCGCCTCTGCCCCAGACGAGGAGGCCTGAACGAACATGTTCTGAGTGGCATTTACCACCACTGGAGGGGAGGGCATGCTAGCCACGGGACTGGCCATCTGTGCAGCTGCGCCAGACTGCAGGAGCTGGATGGGCATCTGAGGTGGGGCGACGGTCCCAATGCCTCCAGGTGGCACGGGCAGAGTGACAGACACCGGGGCGAGGGTGTATGTGGGAATCCCATTCACTTGTTTCCCTGTGGGTATTAGCTGTCTGAGAATAGAGCCTGACGTGAGGAAAGTGGTGTTTTGCGAAGCCCCAGGTCTAACTGGCTGACTTGCAGGCAGAATTTTGGTATTCACAGACTGACTGAGTTGCAGGACCCCAGGCCTCACTGGCTGACCCACAGGAAGAACTCCTGACATGACAGGCTGACTGAGCTGAAGAACACCGGAGTTAATGCCCTGGTTCACAGGGAGAACACTTGAGGAGACTGGCTGGCTGGGAGAAAGGAGCCCAGGTGGGACCACCTGGCCTGCAGGGAGAACCCTTAGGGGAACCGTCTGGCCAGGAGGGAGAACCCGTGACGGGACCGTCAGCCCAGGGGGGAGAACCCCCGACGGGGCTGTCTGTCCAATGGGGAGAACCCCCGACTGGACCATCTGGCCAGCAGGGAGAACTCCTGAAGTCGCTGTCTGTGCTGAAGGGATGACCCCTGCAGGGGTCATCTGGCCCGCAGGAAGGACCCCTGAGGGGACTGTCCGGCTCACAGAGATCACTCCTGGCGAGACAGCCTGGAGAACCCCAGGGGTGACAGAGGGACTGACAGGAAGGACACCAGACCCAACAGGTCTGTTTACTGAAAGGACTCCAGGCCCAACTGGTCTGCTGATGGGCCCAACAGGCTGGCGGAGGGGAAAAACCCCTGGGCGGAGGGTCTGGTTTGTGGTGAGGATGCCAGTTCCAGCAGACTTATTTACAGGTCCAACTGGCTGACTCAATGGCAACACAGGAGGATTTGCTGACTGATTAAGTGGGACTCCGTGAGAAAGAAAGACAGGCTGAGGAGCTGAGGGTGGCAGAGCAAGGCTGCTCTGGGCCACTGGCAGGGGACTGGAGACTAGAGTCACATGGGACTGGGCAACAGCCGGCGGAGAATGAGTCAGGCTTCCAGAAGCACCCGAGGCCACAGTCACTGGCTGGACTGTGCCCTGAACTGGCTGGACCACGGTTTGGCTTTGACTGTTCTGCGGCAAGGCAAGATGAAAGCAAGGAGGTGTGGCTGGAACGGCCGGAGCACTGTTGCTTGGTGGTATCGCCAAATGTGCAGTTGGTTTTGGAGCAATATGCATTTGCTTCAAAAGTCCAGGCTTCTTAATATGTTCTGAAATCACGGATCTAAGCTTATTCTCCAAATCCCTGTGTATATCCGATGTCAAAATGTGATACATTAAAGCATCCTGGCTGCTGGCGTTGGCATTGCATTTTTTACAGTAATACTTGTCAGATGGTGGCATCTTCTCGGTGGTATCATCGTTCTTCGGTTGCTCGCCCATGTCCTCAGTTCTCAACCCAAAGTAGGAGTTAATCAAGTAGTGGAAATGGGCTACCAGCACATGCTTCTTCATGCTGTAGTACAGCGTGTTTGAAAAGTTACATTTTAAACACGTGAAACTTATCACATCATTCCTGGATGATTTCGTTTCACCTAAAATATTCACCGTGTAGTTCTGGACTTTCCGAACAGGTGCATGAAACATCCTGAAGTGCCTTCCCACAACTTTGGGTTGAGAGGAAAACACACAGTTTGGGCAAGGGATCACCAGCTCTTGGTCAATCTCATCTTCGTGGTAACGATGTAAATGATTTTTGAATGAAGTAAGCACTTTTGTAGAGTATTTACAGAGGCTACAACAGTATGGCTTTGTTCGATATCTCTGTTAAAAGAAAAGAAAGTCAAGCATAGTTTAATAAAACTATCAGATGCTACGCCTCCTATAGTTCACAAATAAATGACTCTTCCCTTCTCATGTACTGGATAAGTTACCACCATCACTCCTCAGGGAACAATGCTTTTTCTTAAAGGCCAGAGTAAACGTTCTAGGCTCTGAGGGCCCCCCAGTACAGCCTGTGGCAAGCACTCTGCTGCCGCTGGACAGAGAAGCACCCACAGAGGACGTGTACCTCTATGCGCATGGCTTTGTGCCAACAACACTACAGACATTGATTCAAACTTCATACAATTTTCACATATCACACAACAGTATTCTTTTCACTTTTTTTCTTCTCAAACACTTAAAAATGTAACAACTATTCTTAGCTCATAGCTATACAAACACAGGATTTGGCCCACAACGCAGTTTGCTGACCCCTGTTCCAAGCCATCCACTAAAACCACAAATCTCATCACAGGCATACCTCATTTTATTGTGCTTCGCTTTGTTGTGCCTCAAAGATACTGCGGTTTTACAAACTGAAAGTCTGTGGCAACTCTGCAGCGACCAAGTCTATTGGTGCCATTTTTCCAAACAGCATTTGCTCACTTCGTGTCTGTGTCACACCTGGTGATTCTCACAATATTTCAAATGTTTTCATTACGACTCACTGAAGGCTCAGATGATGGTTAGACATTTTTTTAGACATAATGCTATTGCACACTTAATAGACTACAGTCTAATGTACACATAATTTTTCTATGCACTAGGAGACCAAAAAATTCATGTGACTCGCTTTATTGCAATTGCACTTCATTGCGGTGGTCTGGAACTGAACCCGCCATATCTCTGAGGTATGCCCATACTTAGTCCTATACTTTGAAGTAAAATAAACTCACTTAATTCTCTGCAAGAGAAAGTTATTTTCTCCCCTTCTCATCCTGTTTCTCTTAGATCCAATGTTGTTTTTAATCCAAATTCTAAAACCTCTGGACTTTAACTACAAATAACCTAACTTGCAAATTGTTAAACCCATCATTACTATCTTCTATTTCCTCGATCCCTAGAGAAGGTAAGAACCAAATGGACAGTGCCTGGCACATGCAAGTATCCAATAAACTATGTGACAGACGGTAAAGAAAGAGGGATTGTGCCTAAACTCACCATGAACAATCTTGAGGTAAGTTTCAGGCCACAGAATACTGCACTGACAATATGGAATTTCTCTTTAAGGCAAATACCGGGGAATTCAACAACCTTGGGCATAAGAACAGACATCTGTACAACACCAGCCAACTGGGGAGTGCAGTCTGTCCTGACATGCAGGAAAACACACTGGTTTGTGATAATTCGAGGAGGGAAGCCTTTGGTCTCAGGACAGTCTCCAGGTCCTAGAGCTGATGAGCCACACAACACCCGGCCCCAGTCTCACAAGGAGGAAGGGAAGACCTGGACAGAGGAGGCACTTCCTCCCAGGTCCCATGTCGGCGATGGCCGGGGTCTCCCCACTCTGCAACACTGCTTCTTGTATCACAGTGGCCACAGGTCAGCTCCCGTCCTTCCTAGATCTATGCTCCAGGATCACTCTCTCTCATACACACACACACACACACACACACACACACTCTCCCATTCTGATCACTCTCATAAACACACACACACACAAATGTTCCCATGATCACTCTCTCATACACACACACACACATATTCCCATTCTGATCACTCTCTCTCATACACACACACACACACACACACACATATATAATCCCATTCTGTACATTTTGTCATCCTCTCTCTCTCCTATTCATGCAGTGTTCCTCATGGGTCACAAGTCAGAGAAATCACCCAAACATATTCAGCAACATGTTACTGCCTTCTCAGCAATTAACAAAATCCCAGGTTCTGGCATTTCTAGTAGGATCTATAATAAACTGAGGGTAGCAGCCAACCACAGACTTAAAAAAAAACATATTTCACTGATTCTAAGAGACACATTTTTTTTTCATATTTTAGTATCTCTAAAATCTGGGTACACCTTACAACTGATGGCTCAATAGTACAACACAGTTTAAGTGAAATATTCTTTTAGTTTTATTAATGGTTTATTAAAAAAATGGTGTATCTTATACTCAATAAAATATTGCATTGAAAAACCAGATACTCAATGAAAATTACGCTCAATGAAAGAGCCAACAGAATTTACTAACCATTGCATGTTACTATCTGCTACTGTTGAGTAGGTATTTGGATTAGGGAAAGATTTCTTAAATATGACACCATAAACATGATCCATAAAAGAAAAAAGAATGATAAACTGGACTTCATCAAAGTAAGAAAGCTTCTCTTTGAAAGACACTGTTTAAAAAATAAAAAGACAACCCACAGGCTAGGAAACAATATTTGCAAACCACATACCTAATAAAGGAGTTGTACCCAGAATACATGTTGTGAACATGTTCCAAGTGTCAGTGAGAAACCAGACAACCCAACTTTTAGAAAATAGGGAAAAGATTTGAACACTTTACCAAAGGTATCCAGATGCCAAATAAACACTTGAAAAGATGCTCAACATCATTAGTCACTAGGGAAATGCAAATTAAAACCAGAGAAGATACCACCACAAATCTATTAAAAGGGAAAATAAACAGGTAAGTCTGTCAGCACAATAACCCTGACACAACCAAGTCTGGCAAGGATGCAGAGCAACTAGAACTCTCACATGACTGGTGGGAAAGCAAAATGCTACAGCCACTTTGGAAAACAGTTTTGCAGTTTGTTATAAAGATAAATATATACTTATTTACCATATACAACCCAGCAACTTCACGCCTAGGCATTTACCCGAGAGAAATGAAAGCATATGTTCACACAAAAACCTGCATGTGAACGTTCCAGGACAGTGATCAGTCTGAGTGTGAGACCTTGGTTCCCTGGTAACAGAGGAAGAGAAAATAACCAAGGAGAGAGCAGGAAAGAAGCGGAGTCAGGAGTCCTGGGGGCTGGCAGAAACCCTGTCCCCAGGACAGTCCGTCATCTCCCGTCAGTCCATGCCTGCTTCCTCGGAGCCCACAGTAAGTGAGCTCCACCACCTGCTGTCACCTCAGCATGTTTCTGTCCCCCAGACCCCAAAGTCTAACACATCTTTCTTCTCTGAGCCCTCAAGGATCCCACTGTAGCATGAGCCCCACAGTCATCATGATTACACAATATTTCTGCTGTGTTGCCCGAAACTGTCTCTGTTCATAAATCCTATTTCCCCAGAGACAAATTCAAGCAGGAAGGCTACCTTAGGAATGAAGAGGAATAAGAACTAAAACCAGTAGACAACAGTCTCTCCCATGCCAGGCAACAATGATTTTTTTTCTGAATACAGTATTTATTTAACAAATTCAATCTCTACTATTTCATATTGTTATTTAACAATTTATGCCTAGGCCCTATGCACCCCAACAAAAACAAACTCCTTGAGGAAAAGAACCCTAACTTTTACCTCTTTGCATCAGGTACTCAAAAAGTTTTACCTGCTTTGTACCAGGAATTCAAAAAATGTTTCCCGATGAAAAGCACATAATTATATATTATACTGCATGTTACATTATAGGATCTTTTAAAGAATTCAGATGGGAAAAATCAGTGAGGCCTAAAAAAAGATTTATGAAGTCAAGGTCTTCAAAGCAAGGCCTATTTGAACAGCCATATGCTGTTCTGACCAGAAAAACCAACTGAAGTGGTTTCAAGGAATCTTGTGCCTAATGGTAGAGAGGGGAGTGCCAGGTCAAAAAGGTGAGAGACCAAAAGGTGGAACATGGAAAAGAGGCAGCCAAGTGGGCTCTGGAGGACAGGTGAACAACAGAAATGTCTTTAAAGAAAATTTTGACAGAACAATGACTAGTTACAGGAATTTTTTTTAAAGCCAAAATTCCCAAGGCCAGCATGACTTGGACAAACAGAAGGGAGGAAGGCAGTTAAGTCAAATCTGAGACATGCCGAGTTTGACACCAACAAGGGTGCTAATCTAATGGCTGAATGGTAGGAAAGGTTTTCCAGAAGACAACACTTCAATGAGAATTTAGCAGTATGCCACACATTTTAGCTTGAATCGGCTTAGGTCTGAGGTTTCAAATTATTACAAATTGCGTTCCTCGATCCAAAGATCCACATTTTTATTTTATTTTTATTTCTGAAAACAGGATGAACCTTCATTATATATGCAGTCACGCGTCACAACGACAGGGATACATTCTGAGAAATGCGTCATTAGGTGACCTCATTGCATGAACATCATAGACTGTACTTACACAAACCTAGATGGTGTAGCCTACTACATACCTAAGCTATATGGTATACCCTATTGCTCCTAGGCTACAAACCCGTACAGCATGTCGCTCTACTGAAATCTGTAGGCAATTGTAACACAATGGTATTTGTGTACCTAAACTTAGAAAAGGTAGTAAAAACACGGTATAAAAGATAAAAAATGGTACACCTATATAGGATACTGCGACATGGTGATTTAGAAGAAATATACATATTTGATCATTCAGATGACCAAAATATATTTCTCAGATATATCTGGTCTTCAACCACAGTTCCTGGCTCATAACTCAAAAAACCCTTAGAATTTCCTGAGCAATATGAGCTCTTGTCCTCAGTTCCTGAACCCACCCAAGAGTGGAGGCTGGCTGCCAGAACTGGCCATGTGATCAGAGGATTGGAACTTTCAGTCCCTCCCCCTGACCTCCAGGGAAAGGAGGAGGGCTTGAGGTTGAATCAAGGGCCAACAACTCAGTCAGTCCTGACTAGGTAATGAAGCCTCCATAAACACCCGAAAGGACTGCTCATCAGCCCTTTTCAGAGATCTTCCCTGTTGAGCAACCAGAACGCTTCCATGTGCTGCCGAGCTGGGCCCCAAGCTCCACGAGGACTGAAGCTCCTTTGTTCGGGACCTGGCCCTATATATCTCTTCATCTGGCTGTTGATTCATAACCTTTCATATCCTTTGT